GCAGCAGCAGCAGCAGCAGCAGCAGCAGCAGCAGCAGCAGCAGCAGCACAGCAGCAGCAGCAGCACAGCAGCAAAGCAGCAGCAACAGCCGCAGCAGGCACAGTAACAGCAGCAGCAGCAGCAGCAGCAACAGCAGCAGCAACAGCAGCATGATTCATATGGGAATATCGTTGTTAATGTAAGGGAAAAAAAGGTTGCTACTGGTCTCAAGTGTTTGGATTAAACTCTTGGTATGTTGTGATAAATTATAAATGTATGCAAATATAATATGTAACCTTAATCAGTTTCTAAATTGAATTGCTGTTCTGTTAACGTGCACACTATTAAACGAAATCTTTCTAGTACTATTTATTTATTCTCTTAATTTCAAACACAATCGGAAATTCTGATCAAGTGTTCGTGCTCTTGGTCTAGTTCCGATCCAAAAGTAATGTAAAATCCATTCAAAAATCATTTCAATTTTAACCTGGGGTTTTCCAAGTAACACATTGGAAGTGGTCAGTCTTGTTTTCATATCTGAATGATCGGGCAAAAGCCGCACTCCCTCCTTACCTCTAAGGGGGACCTTTCTCCTGACCTCTGACCTCACCGTCTGCTCCCGGCAGGTGTTTGTATTCCGCGTGCCCGCGCGCACGTTCGACGACGGTGCGGGAGGCGGCACGCGCCAGCTCTCCCTCTCGCTGCTCTCGCGGGATCGCAGCCCTATCCCGGACGATTCCTGGCTGACCTTCAACTCGACCTCGCAGACGATGTCTGGCCTGCCGCTCAAGGCCCTCGTTCGCGCGCCCAGCGTTGCAAAGTACCACCTGGTGGCAGAGAACAGCGACGGGCGGACGGCGTCCGTCAAGGTAATTGAGTGAAATTAATTGATTAATTGTCTTGATGATTTATTTTTATCAATGCATATTAATTTTTAATTATTATGGATAATTTAATTTAATTAATAAATGATTATGTTCTATTAATTTTACATGAAAATTATGCTTAAAAGTACTTGAAATGAAATGCGATTCATTCGTATTTGGATTAATCCAAGGTCACGATCGAGGTCGTCCCACGGCCCTCTGATGAGGAGTTCGCGAACCACTTCGCCGTCGCCATCGACGACGACTACGACAAGTTCTCGCGAGATCCCGCGAAGCAGCGCGCTTTCCTCGGCCGCCTCGCCGCCGCGTTCGGCGACGACGATGCCTCCCAGGTGGCGCTGACGTCGCTGACGCCCGGCTCGACGATCGTCGCCTGGAGCAACAGCTCGCAGTCGGCGGACGAGTGCGATGAGGAGGCTGCGAAGGCGGTTGCCGGGCGGATGCTCGACGACGACGGCAACATCCGCGAGGAGTTCCTCGAAGCCATGAAGCCCTTCGTCGTCGCGGCAGCCAGCTTCGCTCCGGGCGGAGACTGCGTCGGCAAGGTGGAGCCACTGGGCGTCGCCCCCGTGCCGTCCGGCGCCGCGGCGGCCTCCCCTGACGACGACGATACGGAGGAGGAGGAGGAGGTGAAGGAGGAGGAGGAGGTGGAGAAGGAGGAGGAGGATGCGGTGTTGCTGTCGACGATCATCCCTGTTGTCGTCATCGCCGTGCTCGTCGTCGTTGCCGTGCTCATCGCCTGCGTGCTCTGCCGCCGCCGCCGCCGCCAGAAGGGCTACACGAAGGCGGCAACGGACGACCGCGACGCGCTGCGCAAGCACACGCCCGTCATCCTCAGCGGCGAGACGGACGACGCCGAGATGGATCGCACTGCTGCCGCGTCGTCGCCGGGGGCGACCGAGCGGCAGCCGCGGCCGCCGCCGGAGTACCACGCGATGACGGACGTGCCGCCGCCGCCGCCGCACGGATACAGGAACGGTCGCGGGCAGCAGCAGCAGCAGCAGGCGTACGACCAGCGCTACGCGTAGACGCCCTCACGCCAACCCCGCGCCCGCCGCGCGTGTATGTGCGGCGGGGGTAGGGGGAGGGGGCCGCGGCGGGGTGTGTGGGGGGAGGGTGATGGGGACCGGTGCGGGTGTGGCCCCCGCCCTACGGGGCGCTGGCGTTGGTTGATAAGATGAGAAGAGTGGGGGGGGGGGGTGTTCGTAAAGGAAATGAGGGATTGTGGGAGAGCGAGGGTGGGGATATGGCGCGTGCTTTCGCATCAACGGTGCTGCCGTCTGGTGCCAATGCGCGTCGAAGTCGCGGATTGTCTTCTCGAGCTTCCAGCAGGTGGCAGCACGTGTGAAGTCCTCACACTCTCCTGCCGCGGCGGTGAAACTCTGTACATCTCAGCCCTAGTGCCTTGTGTTTGTTATTGTGACAGCCTCTCATGTCGTGCCAGGCTGCAGGTGCTGCCCTCTAGATCTTCCCAACCGTCGGCGGATGTGACGTAGGCGGGAGCGCGCGAAAGCCAACAGTCTGCGAACGTATCTCCGTGGAATCGCTCCTTCTAACACGACTTGGCGGAGATTCCGACCCGGAAATCCTGATTTTGAACCGGACATCGTGATTCCGACCTGGAAAGCCGAATTCCAATCTGGACATACGGATACCAAAATGGACGTCGGGATTCCTACCCGGAAATCCAGGTTCCAACTCGGACTTCGGGATTCGGACGCTGACGTCCGCGCTTCCCGTGCGAGATCTAGCGCGGCTGGATCCATCGATTTGCTCGCTCGCGGATTCCGTTATTTAACTCTCGCACGCGCGCGGGGCAACAACAACAACAACAACAACAACAACAACAACAACGATGAAGCACCTTCTCAGGGAGGCACGTTAAGAGCGAGGGGGAGGGGGAGGGGAGGGGGAGGGTGGGGGATGGTAGTACGTAGTGCAGCGTGTAGGAGCTAGAGATATGACGAGTAGGCGTGACGCTGTAATGTAGTGGGGCGTGGCTCGCGCGCCAGGCTGGCTGGTATGCCATCAGTTTGCTGCGTGGTAGACTCGTCGTCACGGTAACACGCAGGAGGCGAGATACAGACAGAGTGCAGCATCGGTACCTGCTCGTAGCGTGAGCGAAATGTAGTATGCTGCTGCTGCTGCTGCTGCTGCTACATGCAATTATTCCCATAGTAATAGTCCGCCCCCCCCCCTCCGTTAACGGTGACCCTAGGCCATAATAAAAATATTGTTTGTTTGACCTCACCCGACCGACCCGCCAAAAACGGGCAACTCCTAAAAGAAATTTAATCTTTTCTTTTTTTTGCAAATTGTATTACTGTATATATATAATTATGTCATTATATAAATCTGTAGGCAATACATTATATGTACCAAGCAAACCAAACCTTCAACATAAAAGGTATCTCCTCACAAGCACACCCAAGCATGTAGACACCATGCTGAATTTGTAAAAAGACCCCCGTCCTCAAAAAAAAGCCGACCTACCTACCCAAACTTTTCAACCTGGGTCGGGTGAGGGCAAACAAATATTTTTTAATTGTGACCCTACCTCTCCCTGCATGGCTTGTAGGTCCTTCATCGGCTGAGCGACGGACGGGCGGGCCTTCGGTTGTTTCGTGGGACCTCCCGGCTTCTTAGTCTTCTCCTAGAAACGAGAAAAGCAGCGAGAGTGAGACCAACACATCGCGGGTTAGACACAGGGGGCGTGGAGAAATGGGCGATAGTGGCGCCATCGTGCGTCCGAGAGCTGAAATCGTCGAAAACCCGTTGAGAGCGTGAATCGGTTAGCGTCCCGGTATGGTAGCCGGCATCTGAAACAAATACGTGGACGCACAATCATCGATGTCATCGCACCCGTGCTGGCGGCTGCTGGCAGAAAGACAGGGGGTGGGGCCGTAGGAGGGGGGCTGCGGGAGAAGGGGGTGAGGCTGCGGGAGGGGGCTGCAGGAAGGGGTGGGGCCATGGGAGGGGGCTGCGGGAGGAGGGGGTGGGGGCCGCAGGAGGGCGGGGCCGCGGGAGGGGGCTGGTGGATGGGGGGTGGGGCCAGTGGGGAGGGGGCTGGCGGGAGGGGTGGGGCT